GGAAATCGCGGCGCAATCTCGTTGCGATTTTCATGACTAATCGCGATTCCCATGCAGCCGCGCGCGCGGCCCAGGGCTTTAATGTCCGCGACACGACACGTATCGAATCGGTGCACCTCGCACGACGGACAGCAAAATGGCTCCCGCGCCGAGAGTCGAAGCTCACACACGCATATGCATGCACGACGCCTCGGGGACACGCGAAGCCATCGTATAATGAACGAGTGTGCGTATATATGCGTGCACGCGACGCACGCGACGCACGCAACGAGACCGGCGATCTAATGTATAATCCGATATGATTCGTATGCGTCTTCTATATATGCGTCGTTCTGTGCAAGAGCGTGCACGCGGCTTGCGGATAACCGCGTGTGTCCTATTTGCACGCGGCCGCGGCGCGAATACACGTGTAAAGCCGTTACGAGAGCCGCGCGCGCGCGCGCGATTGCCAATCGCCTTCGCGGCTATCTTCGTTTCCCGCGAACAAATAATCGAAGCTTACGTCGCGTCGTAATGCGGATCTTATTAAATATTATCTTGGAACACACGCGGTCCTCGATCCTAACGCGGAATGCGCAAACGTCGCGGGGAGGACAATGACGGGAGAGGCGCGCAGGCAGATGGGAAATGCTATATCTCTCGGATAAGCCGCGTCCCATATCGGTCTATCGCTGAATGTCAACTAACGAACACTACTACAGGCACGTATCCATTACTAAACAAATCACGAGCGCCGTTCGACCGTGTGCTTCTGTAAGCTCCGCCGCTGGGCGCTGGATAATTAAAGCTGCGAGGCACATTTGATCGAGTTTCGGTCGCTCTCCGTTCGACAGACCGATTGTTCCCCCATTTTAATTTTTTCGGAAAATTGAAAAAGGAATTCACCCCCGTTTCCTCGATGTTTTTTTTTTTCTGCCCGCGCGCGCGAGTACGGATGCGCCCGCTACATGCTCGTGCATAGCGGCCCGCGCTATACGGCCGGGCGAAAATTGGAAATTGATTTCAAACGGAATTCCGAGCGATATGTCGAGCACGTATCGAACGATACCGAAATTTCGCGCCTATGAAATAGTTTCTCGGCTGTATACTACCTACTTCGCCGCGGACGATTCATCAGAATGTCATTCGTCGAATGTGGGTCACGGTGGGTGGACGACCAGTGTATTTAGAGATGCGGAAGAGAAACGAAATAAAAGATTATCGCGAATCGTTACGCCACTAACGTTTCGATAGAATAACGTTCATTTTATAGAGCTGGAAGTTTTTAGTATTCGTTATTGCATTCGCCCACTGAAGAATTATGTAAATGCACGAAACATGTCGATAAAAGTGTATACGCTTTTCGATATGCCGTTCGATAAAAGCATTAAATTCCAAGATGTTAAGTATTTTAACGTAAGTTCTTATTCTACACGAACGCTTCACAAATATCCAATAGACTTGTATATGCAAACGATAACGATGGCTTTGAAAAAAAAACATGACTAATGGATTAGAGAATAACGTCAAAGTATAACGAAATATGTTTAAGTACGCGGAGTAAGGGATGCCAATTGAAGACATTGCGCCAAGAAGCCCAACCAAAGTGAGAGAATGCGCCTAAAAGACGATCTTTAACCTGAAGGAAAGTAGCTCGTGATTCCAGTATTTCCAGTATTTCGGGTGTCCCGCGGCGAAGCGATTCGCTCGCCGAATCGATGAACTACTTCATTAGTGGGAAGCCATAATGATGATAACGCGTCTCAACCGAAACGAGAGAGAGAGAGAGAGATAACCGCCGACAATTAATAAAAAGCGGGGGTCGTCTGTGCCCGAGGTTAGTTAAAAGAATGAAAATTGTATATATATTTCAAACGACTGCGACTCAGAAATGGTAACAGCAGCGTATAAAAACTATGTGTATATCATTTTCAAAGTAAAAATCTCATTTTACACAAACAAAATCTATTTTTAAATAAATAGCGATTAAAACAACATGGAATAAAAAAAAATATAATGACTGATATTTTTAATCACTAAGCAAAATATATAATAATTCTTAAATAACAAACTCCTGTATAAATCAAAAATTAACTTGAAAAGAAAAGGGCATTAGGAGTCAAGCGCAGATAACTACATGCAACGCCGATATACATATATCAAGCAAATCTATCTATTATAAAAAATTATTAAAAAATTAAGCTAGCTTAATTTTTGCCCTTTTCTTTCCAAGTTAATCACTAAGCAAAATATTATGCGTAATAATTTTTTTAATCTTATACATTTTGCCTTTCTGCTTTTGTAAGAGAGAGAGAGAGAGAGAGAGAACCACGTGTCGATTCAAAAGCTAATTATTTCCTTACGACATTTCTTATACGCATATCATTGCATTTATGTATGGAACTTAGGGTGAGACGACATATATTTCAATGTATTTCAGCTTCTATTTAAAAAACAGTTCCGCACCTACGACTTTCATCCTGTCAAATATTCCCACGCCTAATGCTTACTAGCACCTGAAGAAGCGCACGCGGTGTCGCTTTAAAACGGGAGTAACGAGGTCCTTTCAACCGCTGTCGTCGCGTCGCCAGGATGCCTCCAACCGTTCTGGTAACGCACCGTCAGTTTCCTGTTTGCGGTCCTCGACAGCCTTTCACCGATATTTACTCGCGGGCCTAGGCTCTCCCTTAAGATTGCTCTCGAAGACATCTCGGAAGGACTCGGCCGTATAGTGTCTCGTTTTTGTTTGCTACGTTAGGATTTCCCGACAAAAGGCCCGGTGCGTCGTCCTCCCTTCCTCCCTTCGCGTAACACTAGGATTACAGTCAAAAGGATATTTGTGCTAATTTTTCGCTTCTTCTCACTTTTCCTTCAAAGACCTTCAACCGCCTGTCCTAAGTAGGAAGACGATTAAATCTCCACAAAATTCAAGTCAAACCCTAAGTCAAGTTTCACGATGATTCTTCAAATTTATTGTTGGTCCAAAGCACTTCCACTTTTTATTATCTTTACAGATGTATGTAGAAAAAGTAACAGCAAATTTTTTGAATCTGAGAATACGACATACATATATTTTTATGTATTGTAGGTAGAACTTTTTAAAGCGATTTTAATAATTATTAACGCATACAAGATAATTATTTAGATATAAAAAGATACGTTATTGTTTGATAAATTTTTTTGTCTACTATTCAATTTGCATCTACATTTTTTAATGTCACATCTTTGCCGTCATATTACACACCAGCTTACGTACATTAAAGAAATTGTAATGTGATTTTTTCAAATAGTTCTGAGAAAAAAGCCTTTTTAGTCAGTGCAGAACTATTTCTAATACTTAAAGTGCAAATTTTTAGTGTAAATATATTTCTTTCTACAGTAACACCCTAGAAAACATTAATTAGACTAAAGTGGTCTTCCTAATAAATTTTCTCCTTTTTTTTTGCCTTCAAAAATACGGGATCCACTTAAGATTATTTTTCCAAATTTCATATACGAAAGAAAAACAAATCGTACTTTTTCTTATACACTGATAAGCAACCATCCTCACTTTTCTTGACAAATTTGTATTCATACGCATCGCTTTTACGGATATCGTTTTTCAGATAGCGTGAAAAATATATAATCCTTCAAAAAAAACTCTTCCGGACCAAATCATTCGTAAATCTGGAAAGGGTTGGACCAGGTGAAAAGGGGCTGTCATCTATTAGCTGCGGGCAGAAAAGGGTTTGGGAGATATTTTCAAGAGGCATTTTCTGGGCTCGTGCACAAACTGGATCCTGCCTCTCTACCGAGATGAAGAGTAAAAAGAAAGAGAGAGAGAGAGAGAGAGAGAGAGAGAGAGAGAGAGAGAGAGAGAGAGAGAGTCCTTAAGGAAAACGTACGCCCGCTGCCCCATCACACGTTGTAGGTGAACCATACATAATGTCGTGGCCACATTACCTTTCGACGACAATCTGTCCGTTTGTCCTTGCCTCTCTCTCTCTCTCTTCCTTCATTCATACATCCTCGTATTCATCTCACTCTCTTATAAATACTCATTCGCTTTCCTCTCTTCGCGCGAAGCGTGTTTATGAGAATGTTTACGCACGAGAGAGAAAGAGAGACGTCGAAAGAAAGAGAAGATTAGAAGGAAGGAAAAGAGGGAGAGAAGAGAGGAGGCAGAGGAGTGGTTTTAACAAAGGTCGATCTGCCACGCACTGCACGACAGCCGCAGCCATTGACATCGGGTGGGCTCTGGGTAAGGAGGACTAGATTTCACGAGCCAGCGATGCAAGATCCTTCAAAGGACGCCGACGGGCTGCCGCAAAAAGGATTCGCAAAAAAAAAGGACGTGGTATATAGGGGAAAGAGACAGAACCACCATAGCCGCAGAAAGGGGACAGGCTTCGTCTTTAGTTAATGCTGGCTTCCGCGCACCTCGCGTCGAAAAGAAAGAAAAGACGAGAACTATAAGGGGACAGGCGGTCGAGGCTAATAGAGAGGAAGAAGACGAATAAGAGGAGCGCGAGGCGGACAAGAAGCGCGAGGGAAAGAGCGAAACTACTTGACGGCGAAATCCATCGCGATAACTTAATCCCAGGATTACACTGCGGTTAGGTATCCGCGCAGAAATCCGATCGCGCGCGCTTCACGGAGCCCCGTTTGTGAAGGAACGCGACTGCTCTGTTTCCGGTTTTCCGATCGATTTCGTGAATTATTTCGCCCCTTTTTAAAATTGGATTATTAATTAGACAGAAGCGTCAGCTCTCTTTATCGATATAAAAATGTCACATCTTTCCAAGGTGCAACGTAAAACTAAATAGATTGAATAATATAATATTTGTTTGTTCCACTGATCGTCATCGTTGTAAAAAATTTAATCGAGTATCGCGGAAAGTACTTATACATTCGTATATTTTGAACCGGCCTGTCACGCACGTTTTAGGCAGGTTCAAGTTTAGCGATTAATTGCAAACTGAAGAGGTAAGCTTAGAGTAGCTATAGTATAAGTAAGTAATTGTTTGGTTGGCGTTACGTACAGTACTTACAAAGCCGTGCTTGTCGCTGATGTTGTTGGTGAGCTTGAGTTTGTGGAAGCTCACGACCTTCTGCATCCACTGTTCGCCGCTGCTGGGCGAGTCCGGATGTATGTACATCCTCTTCGGCATTTCCGGGTCCGCCTTACCCGCCACCATCCACCTACTGCTCGTAACACGCGTAAGAATGTATTAGAAAGTTACCGGATGCAATTCGCCACGTGTAACATGCCTCGACAACGATCAAGATATCGAGAAATGCTCTTCATCGTTATTTAGGACAAACCGCTCGGATCGAAATGCAGACCATAAAAGAACGTCCGAATAGATTATAATTTACTTCAACATCACTTTTCTCTCTCTCTCTCTCTCTCTTTCTCTCTCGTATAGTTGATTTAGCTTTTATGTCTTAAACGAAACGGAGTCTGTACGGGGAATATTTAATTTACGTCCACCACGCCGGAATGAAAATCTAAATTAGATTGTGATTTATCGGTTCATTTTTTTTCATTCGATATATCTAGCTAGACTCGACTAAAATTTGGAACGAGAACCGCGCCAATCGTGCTTCCGATAATCGAGCAGATTCCAACAATTTCCTCGCAGGGCAGTGGATAACTCGCTTGAGCGCCTCTCAACTCAGATGACGAAACCGACGATCTAGAACGAGCCGAAAGAAGATTTGAATTGCTTAGTGTTCCTCGTTGGCTCGAGAGTAGCTCTGACTCACCGCGAGCATCAACCAGACACGATTGTTGTCTTTTAAAGGAGGCGTGTCCACCGTTCGTACTCTTTCCCGTCGTCGCAGGTGGGTCAAACTCGAGCGCGAAGGAAGAACTCGTCCGACGAGTTCCAAAGTGGCTGCGGTCGCCGACGTGATGTAATCGTTCATTGTGATCTGCGTTTCGATCGTCCGAACATCGGTAACCGAGATGCCTCGTAAGAGTTTTCTCAAAATGGAGAACCGAGTCCCCTCGCTAATCGAGTCCCTCTCTGTCGGAGCGGAGTCGACGCGTCTGTTACGAAAAAGTTTCCCGGTGCGCCGCGCCGTGCCGTCGTCGAAAAGTATACGCGAAAGTACGTGAAAGAAATACACGGCTGTTCACTTTTGTAGCTAAGCAAATATTTGCGGTGGGCCAAATTCGAGAGAAACTTTAAACGAAAACGAGCAAATACGCGAAAGTCATTTTTAAATCGCAAGTCGCGATACATATGATAATGATTATCGATGCGCGCGACTGTTTAACAAAATTTTTTAGAGAATTATAATATTTATTTAGAATATAAGCACACGGGAATTTTTGACAAATTCAGAGAAATGAAATTCACGAAGCATCTCGGTTAACTAATGTGAAGGCTTGCGATTCCCATACAAGTCGAAATAATTTCCCATGGGACCGTCCCTTATGTGGCACTTCTGCGAGAGAATCAAACATTCATTATTTCTTTTTTTTTTATAAATATTGCTTCGTTCACAAGAGAATACAAAAAAAAGTAAATTTACTAATTAAACATTTGAAGATAAATTTTCAAAATATTATCCACAACCGATTTTTCACAAAAAAAAAACAATGTAGAAATTCAACGTGGATTTGTCACGCACGGCGGGTTGGATTAACCATATTTAAGATCGCGATAAGGTTGGATAGGATTACAAATAATTAAATTATCTTCGACGAGTATGAGGAATTGTTCGCAGCGCACGCTCCACACTTATATTTAAGGAGAGTTTCCTGGTGCAACTAGTATTAAGTCGCGATTAGGACCAATCCAGGATCATTATTTCAAAGTATAATTCCGAAAATTATCTACAGTATATCTTTTATGGCGAAGAAAAATTTAATTGGACGTAGCTTCCAAAAGGTCGCTCGAATATTAATGTATATAAGAGTTATGTAATTCGTAATTAAAAAGAATGATCCAGAATCGCTACGATCGCGCAGGGTCAAAGTATCACCTGTTGTGAAATTTATATCGGCATTCGTCTGATGCCACGATGTCCATTAGAAGTATGTAGCTAGCCTGCTTGTCTAATCCGAACACCCTCACTTTATACGCGGGAAACATGCGTCTGCGAACAATTTTGCAATCGCAAAAAGACACACCGTATACATTAGTTTTGCCGTTCACAGCTAAGTTTTCGTTAATGCGTTCCCCGTGAAAACGGAGAACCGTGCTTAAAAATCAATGTCTCCGGAAACGGCGATGTTAATCGGATAACCGATTTTAACGATCTCGACGATGTAAGAGAGCATTGATTCTGTTCTACAAATATATTTGTGTTTAAGACGATTCGAACATCGAAAAAAGGCAAAAATAAAATACAGACATCAAGATCCGTGTCGTACATGTTAAAAAAATCGTGGAAAACGTTCGAGATCGTTAACGCACGAGTTATCCGCTACATTTGCATTTTTATGAGTCCACCTTTGTTTTCCCACACAAAACCTCTACCTGTTGTGGAACTTGTATCTGTAGTCATCGGCGGCGACAATGTCCAGCAGAAGGATGTACTTGGCCTTGGCGTCCAGACCGGAAACTCGAAACTTCATCTGAGGAAACATCTGCCTAGACCCCCGATCAACATGTACACTTCGATTAGATCGCTTGCTCGATTAAACGAGCTAACTTATTGTTAGATTAAATATCATGCAATTTGCAGCCATCGCGTCTTATCTTATTATCGTTAGACTCATATCGCGTTTATGTGTGATCCTAGTATAATTTACAATAATAAGTAATAACACAGATAAAACATTCCCGTGGATGTGCAATAAGAGAGTGCATTTAGGCCCAAATTTGATTGGCTGTTCCAGTATGTTATCACTATTATACACAATGTTATACATCCGTTGTCTTATACCGTAATATAATTGACAAAAACATAATATCCCCACGTAATCCGAAAATAATTTATCATTTATTATTTTTGCAGAACGCAAACACATTACGCGCGATATTGCCGACATATAAAAACATTAAATCTGAATTTAGAACACATATTTATTCTGGAGAATCGCAAAAAGCTCGTTCCTCGCGAAAAGCGGTTTCGGCTCGGAGATCCTTGCTCTTAGGGTTACCAACCGTACTCTTTAAAGAATACACGTACTCTTTTCGAGGTCGGAAAACAGTGTACTCTTTTCACTTATTGTACTCTTTTTTTAAAAATGAGACAAAATTTAAAAAACTATTATTTGATATATTTATAAATTTATACGAAGTTATGCTTGGTTTGTACTAGGTTGTGTTAGGCCGGTATTCGTAGTCAATTCTTATTTGAAGACTGTCTTAAGTAATGTCTTAAGACGCGAATGCGGCTCTCTAATTGGTTCGTGACACCTGAAGACTGTACATATATATACATTTGTTACATAAAAGATTGAGTTTTTTAATATAAGTCGGAAAGGGCGATGTAAGAGTCAAACGATAAAATTTCATACTATTTAATACTAAAATTTGACAAGTAATAAAATATAAAACTATCAGTATAAAAAAAATTAAATATAAAAATAATTTAAATTAAATTCATGATGATTTTACGACGATCATCATGTATTTAATTTAAGTAATTTTTATATTTAATTTTTTTCATACTGATAATTTAATATTTATATTTTGTCAATATACGTGTCAAATTTTAGTATTAAATATCATAGTATGAAATTTTATCGTTTGACTCTTATATCGCCCTTTCTGACTTATATTAATTATTGTTATACTAGGAATCATTGAATATTTTCATCTTATTTGATTGAGTTTTTTTTTAAATTTGAATTAATTTTAATTTTCCAATTTTAATATAATGTTATATGTACAAATGTAGTTGCTAAAACACAAATAAATATTACTTTTATTACATTAACATATATTTGGAAGTTACATTGCACACATGTCATTTTATTGAATTTATACCGGCAATCAAAAGAGAAAACCTTTTTCTCCATTTCCTTTTTTTTTTCTTTTGGAAAATGTACTCTTTTTGGCAACCAATATACACATTTTCTGCGGTCTTGGGTTGGTAACCCTACTTGTTCCTGAAACGAACTCGAGAGGGATGAAACGCGCGCACTCGCACGAGGAACATCACGCGGTCGCGAGTCACGTCGGCGACATCTGGTAAATCCTGGACGGTCGGAATAGAAACGTGCATGAGTCAATCCCGGCCGCTGTCAGACAGCGGACGCGCCGTTGGCTTTCGAGGCGCGCGTTCTCTGGAGTAAGTAAAAACCGGACTCCGTTCCCCGGGCTAGAAACCGACGACGGACTGTCAAGGTGCGTTCGGCCGAGGATGCGCGTGGAGGAATTATATTCGCCCGAGACGAAGAGGAGATGCACGACCGGCGTCGCTGGAAAGAAAATCGAGAAAATTGTCGCTCGGATATACACGTTTTTCGACGGAATCTAGCCGGTTCGTGTAACTCGCCGTCGGTTCTACAATGAAAATTACGTGCGACATGTTTTTCTGGAGAAGAGCCGCGCTTCGAGATTCCATACGAGGAATTACATCGGAGTTGTACCTATCTATCGTCCTGCAAGCGCTAATCATGTATACAAAAAAATAATAAATACAATATATAATGCATATACTATATTTATATATATGCAGTATACATATGTATTCCTTTTACCGTAAATACTTTTTCGAAACACATAAGAAAAAATTAAGTACTTCAAAATACATGCACTTTAATTAAACAATATCGTTCTATGCACACTCCAAGTCCAAGTATGTAATACTTAAATGCTTTCATACATGCATGAGTCTTATATGTATTAAAAATAACACTGTATACTATACGTATAAGATGTATCATACTCATATCGTTATCATGATTCCAATATTTTCTTAGTAAAAATGAATACGATTCAACAATAATAAGTACAGACGTAAAATTAAAACGTTTATACGTTTATCATTACACAATATATTTATATCATAGAACATGATATATTTACTAGTACATAATATATTACTAATAGAATACTTATATCTATCACAAAAGTGTTCAACATACTATTACTTCCTTTGTAATATACTTAATTCCAAATTCCATCGCACAGAAATTGTAGAATTTTATAAGGATAACTAAGAGCCGACATTATACCTTCAAATTTATTGGCACACTTCAGTGTTGAATTTTCCGCAACCAAACATTTCATTACCATGATTAGCTGCTAAAAACTCATCAAGTTTGAAAAATATATCTTAATAGATCTCGAAATATACATTATGATGTACAATATTTAAAGACAACGTTGTTTTATTGAAAACAATGAGTCTCGGTATATTTATAAACTAGGATATTTAATAAAATATTTAAAAGCTCAGAGCAATAAATAGTTATTAATAACAGCAAACAAAGATTTTTAACTCTCCCGATTTTTCACTTCAATTCAAGGGCAAGAATGTACTGTGTGTAGTCGACTTTAATAAATCACTTCTTCAATAAGCAAATAAATAAAAAATGAATATTGACTATAAAAGTCTTTGAGCGCAATAAAATTATGAGTGGTCAAATAATGGAGAAAAATTTGATAAGTTTTACAAATTCATCATAATAGACGCAGAGACAAAAAAAATTAATCAAAACTGTTACGAGAAAAGATCTCGCGAATAAGAGCTACCGAATATCGATCGAAAATGATTACTGAGAAGGGCTGGGCGTTTGTCTCGCGACGTGAAAGGTATCGCAGGGATTTCTGGTAGCATCTGTCTACTGTATGTCCGTTGAGACGTTCTTCGTCGAATTTCGGCGCGAGCAAGGACAGGACAAGATCTCGGCGCATTCGCTCGCGATAAACGAGCGCCATTCTCATTCACGTCAAGGAGGACATTAAGCCGGATTATCCGCGCTATGTGAGCCAAAATATCCCGCGGGAGAAGACACGAGAGTCCTGCGATGAATGTAAGTACTGTCGGCGTTACATCTCTCTAAGCAAAATGCTATATGGAACGCTAATATCCTCTATTCGACGACTGTATGATCGCTCGATCGTACAACGCTAAGATATTTTATGAAATAATATAATTTAATAAAATAATAATTTTATTAAACAATATTTTATAAAATTAAGACAAATGAATGCATAACGCAATTGTTGGAACGTAATTAAATTATACCGTTGTTTATTCGTGCAGTATTTACTTGAATATATTTTACTCGAACGTTTACTTAATTATATATTAAGAAATATTAATAATTTATAATATTATTACTTTTCCATTATTAAGATATTTTATCTTTGCCTCGCAAAATGCGTTATTTCGTTGCATCACGTGTCCCATCTTTACAATGGCACTAAATCAATAGCAGGAAACAAAATCATAAGTAATATAGGAAGTTATGCTTGCGTCCTAATATAATTCAAAGACAAAAATAACTTACAATCCGGCGGTATTTAACTTGAGAACGATTAAAAAATAAGAATGCAGACACGCTACAAAATTATCTTTAATTAATTTACATCAAATTATCAAATTAATCAATGATACGATGCGTTATTAATCTGTTTTAAATCGATTAAAAATCAGTCCGAGACGTGTGTAAACAGCCATTCTCTAACAGATATACATATATTTACACCTGAATTTAATTGTGGCAAAAATTGACAGAAAAACGACAAAAAGTATGACACAGAATTCAGATGCAGATGTCCAAAATACGCGGGACGCGTATCATATTATTTGATGGCTAACAAACGAGAGTCTTTGAAGAACCGGGTGTGTGTTATCACTCTGAAATCACACGCGGGGTTAAGATTCATCCGGTTGTCTCGTATACTAGCATAGAAGCGGCGCGGTGTCGATTTCTCGCGCGACCTTCTTTTCCGCTGTACATATAACTCTTAGCTGCTTTAGCTGCTAATGAGTGACAATGCGGGTAAACAAATTATGAACCGGTCGTTGTCAACGCAAGAAATTGCTGAAAGCTGTAAATCGTCTGATAAACGCGCCTTTGAGAGATTTCGTTTTCACCGCAGCTCCTTCTTTTCTCAGCCTCCACACTCAAACAACGTATCGCCATACAAAACGGTCCGATAAGATATTTGCCACCGACCGAAAGCAGCTGTCCGTTTCGTCCCGAGTGATATACGGCTACCATATTTCTCTGGTCCAAATTTGGAGACACCATCGCTCATTACGTGTTGTAATAGGTCGAAGTAACCTAAAGAATAATATAAGCCTGTTCCTTCATATATAACTCTATCTCTGTAACCGTTTTTCAAACAGTTTCCCTTTTATACATTTTATATGTCATGTATTAAATACGAAAGTAAAATAAAATTTGTATCATTGTTTTAAATGTAGGATCTTAAACTAACTCGAACGACAAAAAAATAAATGTCAAGATCGACTGAAGATTTTTTTCCATAGTATTGTTTCTGTTAAACGCTCAACCGGAGATATAGTTTTCTTTAGAAAAAAAAAAGACATGACATTCCTTAGGAAGCCGAGAAGGCGCCGTTCGACTTTAATGGCCAGCCCCCTCCCAGATTACGGGAAAGGGCTTTCGAAGTCTCAAGACTGAAGCCTTATGGCAGCGACCGAGTCATCAGAAGTATTTATT